TTGATCACACAGACCAATTTCCCCGGCACCAATTCGGCTTCAGGGTCAATCTCGGATCTTTTGACTGGTCGGATAGCCTTTGTTTCTGCAGTCAATGATTTGTACTCGGCGAGCATCGAGTCGTACCACTTTTCCTTCTCCATCCTCACCTTGTGAAGAGGGACTGTAACAGTTTGAAGTTGTTCTTCTCCACCGCTACCATCAGCTTGTGCTGAACAGACCCTCAGTCGGCACACTCGCCTTTCCTCCTCAACCTTTGCAGTTGTTACAGCTTCCAGTTCTTCTTCCAAATCTTCACGATGTTCTTGTAGAAGTCGTAGAACTTGTCCCTGTATGAAACCGTTTGTGGGATCCATTGGAACATTTGACAGTTCATCCTTAATGGCATCCACAACTCCAAGGTGTTGATCTTCTTTGAACTTCAGCAGGTGTGTCAAGCTAACGTTTCTGACGATGAACCCCCCCGAGGTTGGACTTCTTTCCATGTGCTTCTCCCCCGAGTCTGGACCATCTTGTGCAGAAACCCTTGAAACTTTGGTTTTTTTCCACTTTTGAAAAGGTTACCGGGCTCCCCCCCTACTGACACTTCAGCAGGCTCTACTTTCATTTTTGAGATTTCCGGCGCGAGGCTGTCAATCTCTTCCACAGGAGCTTCCGGATCTTCTCGGTTAAGTTCTTCAAAAAGCAAATCGAGTTCATCAGGCCCTTCACCTGCTTCGAGCATTTCGCTCAGTTCGTATGGCTCTGAATCTTCGGGTGGTGATTCGTCAGGAGGTGGTAGCGGAGCGTCCCCAATGGTTGGCGGCAACCTCATGACACCTTCTGGCGGCGTCTTGGAGTAAAGCCGTCTGTGAGGCCTTTCAGGATTGTCTTCTATCTCCAACCTGATGCGGACCCGTTCCCCTTCCTCACTCGGAACAACCACTTCTCGAGCATGAACTACTTTTCCATCTTTCTGTTGGACTACCCAGCCCGAGAAGATCATTGGACTCGGGCACAGCAGGCGTCCTTCTGCGTATGGAGACGGAATCGCCCCCTTTTTGAACCATCTTTTTGACCGAACCAAGACGTTGGCCCTGAAGGGCAGCATTGACAGTACGGGCACTCCCAGTTTCTCCAACTGTTGCCTCATTCGTTCTTCAGCACAATACCTCACTTCCTGCCACGCGGAGATACAGACGGGTTCGCCTTTTAAGCTGATTGACCTCTGATTCCACATGGCCGTTTGAGGCCGGGTCGTCTCCCTCCGTCATGCTCTGTCTTATAAGGCGCTCTGAGCACCATCTTTAAACCTTTTTTGACGGCAGCTCTTTAGCCCGATCACTGTGCAGACGGTTGATCTTGATGCCCATCGTGTTGAACTTCGCGATGCATTTTCCCAGGGCGACTAGGATTTCACTCACATGTCTTGACCCCAGAAGTTCCACCAGTGTCACGTGCCGTACATTGAACGGCTGCTTAGATTCTTCTACCAACCTTTTGACTTCTTCCGTCATCGGGTCGGGATCTCCTTTTTCTTCCTTTCCACGGTGGTCCTTTTCCCCCGACTCTGGAAGCTGATGATCTTCTCCACCAAGCGGGCAATCCCCTTCTTCGAGACCATCCCCCCACGAGGGTTCCAGAATTTTGGGTTTCCCCTTTTCTGGGGATTCTTCACATGGCATCACGATGTCCTTCCATTGAGCTTGATCTTGTTGTTCTTTTGGTCGATCTTCATCTTCTCCTCCAATTTTGGTGATGTAATCCGGGACCAAAGCAGTGGCCACCATTGCATACTTCACCAAATCCTTCCCAGAGGATAGATCCCTGACCTTTGGAAAGGGTCCCACGATGTCCACGCTCATCGCCCACGACGACGTTGTAGCATCGCGTCTCCTCCGATGTGGAGACCTTGCACCCATTTCCAAAACACAAGTCCTACAATCCCTTCTATATGGTCGATGGCCTTGACGAATATGGGCTTCCCAGGCTTCCTCTGACATCATCTTGGCCAAATGCGGCTCTTCACCCGCAGTTTCATCGCCTTCCCGTTTGAGATGTCGGTGAAGTGCTTCTCGGATGGCAGCCCTTAATCCCGGTGCCCATACCGCCCATGTGGACGACAGGGTCCTTGATGTCCTTTGGTAGGGCCTCGGAGTGCTTGGTGCTGCGTTGATCTTCCAAGTCTCTCATGTCCTCCAGGTTTGTGAGGCACGTGGTCGGTTTCCGTCGTGAGTGCCCAAAGCACCCTTAGCTGCATTAACTCCGGCCATGCCCAAAAGCTTGGACTTTCTTCTTCGCGAGCTTGTGGAACATACGTCAACGGATCTTGTGGGCTCTCCAAGAGGAAAGCGGTTCTCACACGATGACGCTCGCAGCATTCTTCAGACCTTATGAACAGGCCAACTTGTTTCAGCAGCAGTGCCGCATCTGAATCAGCCAAGTTCTTCTCCCGGTCTGTCAATCCTGGTAGACCATACCGGTCATGGAAACGTCCACGCAACGGTCTTGGTCCCGGTTGTTTCTGCCTCAATCGGCTGACCGTCCGACAGGGAGGTCCCCCGATGATAGCAAGACATTTTCCCAGGCTTGCAAGTTTCCAAAGGAAACTCCATGTTCCAGGATTGTGTAGATCTTGATTTCGACCTTCAGTGATATCCAAAGTAATGACTTCAATCCCATTAATGAAATTCCTTCGCCATTCCTTCGCCTTTTCCACAGCAAAGAGGTGGACTATAACCCCTTTTGAGGTGAGCAGCCTCCTTCTTTTGTGCCGGTTCCATGGCAAATCATGGTTAATTTGTGGATCTTCTTCATGTTGACCCTTCATATAATTCCAGATTCTTTCCGGTGTTTCTGGAAATTTTCGGCTGGTTTGGCAACTACCCCCCCCCAGACACCCTATTCTCACTTCGTTCGCAAATAGCAACTAGCCAGCTTCCCGGCTGGCTTTCGTAATAAATTTTTAACACTCTTGACTTGGAAATGTGCTTCGCGCCACAACGGCGTGCACTTTTTTCGACATCTCAACTTCAAAAAGTGCTCCGCACCTAGTGTGTTTTGCACCTTTTGACTTGGAAATGTGCTTAGTGCCACAACGGCGTGCACTTTTTCGACATCGCAACTTCCAAATGTGCTTCGCGCCACAACGGCGTGCATTTTTTCACATCTCAACTTCCAAACGTGCTCTGACGTTGGTGTGTTTTGCTCATTTTGACTTCGACATGTGCTTTGCGCCACAACGGCGTGCAATCCTTTATCTCTCATCTGGCCAGATGGCTCCGCACCCGCCGCTTTAGCGAACCTACATTTCGACCCTCCGGAGCCACAAATCATTGGGAAAAATGTGAATCGCGGCTTTTCTACCTTTTCGCGCACTCGTATCTTCTTTCTTCTGACTCTGTCTCTTCTCTGATCTTCTCTCTTCTCTGTCTCTTTCCACCTCTGCTTTTCCATCTGTCCATATTGTCGGAACTTTGACTTCTAAACTTCCTTCGGCTACAGTAGTATGTACTACGGTGGGTGGAAGAAATCCTGCACCACCTCTATAGCCTATAACCTTACATTTGCTAATGCATAACTTGTACCCCCGCACCCCCAAGCGAATGACATGTTAACAGGTGGTGCAAGATTTCCGTCACTCGCACAAGTCCATTTTGATCACTGTGTCTTCAAACAATATTAAATTAGGAGCGAAGTTTCAAGTGTAGGCCTTTGAAAGTGGTGCAGGATTTCTTCCATCAACAGTAGTAGTATGTACTAGTAGTCTGTACCTGTAGTATGTACCAGTAGTATGTACCAGCATGTTGTACTAGTATGTACTAGAATGTACTAGTATGTACTAGTATGTACCAGTATGTGCTAGCATGTACTAGTACTGTACTGTAATGTAATGTAAACGTGCTGTAATGTAATGCAATGTAATGCAACGTAATGTAATGTAACCTGTGTATGTATATATGTATGTATGTAAGTACCTATGCAGCATGAATGCTGGTGGGGTTGGGTCTTCAGATTTTGTAAACACATTTCTGGAAAACACAAAAACGGCCTCTACAAAACGAAAAACATAGCATTTGAAATTTGAACAGGAAACTTTCAGGCCTACAAAATCCAAACACCCAACCCACTTTTGCCGGCACCAGCGGCAGCCGGCGCTTCCACAAAATCCAAATCATGGAAACCCACCTGCTATATATATAGGCACTAAAAACTTGGTTCAAATACACCCCCCAAAATCACCCCAGAAACAATTGGATTTTGTAGAGAAACCTTTGTTTGGGGCCCGTGCAATCTGCGAGATTGCTTGAGCATAGTGACCCAAACTTTATCCCAGACGATGAAAAAACAACAGCCTGATGAAAGACTGTGAAAGATAAGCTTACCATTTATCATGTCAATGGGGGAGGGGAGACACACCGCTTGTGGTAAGACAACGGGGGCTGAGAGAGCCAACGGCCGGGACAGGCCACGCAGCCCACCGAGCCACAACGGGGAAACCACAACGGACAACGGGAAGAACACAACGAGAAAATAAGAACTGGTGGTTTTATGGTGAGTAAATGTTCTGAAAAGTTTTTCAATGAAAAAGATTTAGCATCTTTTTAAAAAACATGAAATATTGATATGAATTCCAAAATTCCAATACCACAGAAAATGACAGAAAATTTACGAACATAATGGTTAACTATTCATGAAACCAGTTGAAACCATATGAAATCACATCAAACCATGGTTCAGCCAGTTTCTCTACAAAACCAAAAACATCTCACAAAATCTAAAGCATGACCTTAATTTCCTGAAAACCCGAAACGCCACACAAAAACATGGCTTAAAGGTGTCCTCTAAAACGGTCCCAAACATATTCCTCTACAAAATCAAAAACCTGCTTGGAGATTATTCTGGATACCCAATCATCTCCCACAAAAAATGCATTGCGCCAAACGTTGACGTGCTAGATTTTGTAGAGGAAAATTTTGGAGATATTATATACACATGTGTTATGACATGTTGTGTTTTTTCCTGCTGTTCGAACAATCGTGCCTAATTTCCCTGAAGGAGCAGGCGCCCATGCCCAAGGAAGTGCTCGTAGCATTTGCTGACAAGCGAACTTGATGAATTACATTGCCAGTGTGCGAGATGCCAAGCAGTTGCTCCCTTCCAAGTCACAAAGACAATACGTTGCATCAGCCAGCTGGTCAGTGTAGATCTTGTTCGAAATCAAATAGTATGAAAGCCAAATCAAAATCGGAAAGAACATGAACATACCAAAAGGAATATGCGTAAGTGCCAGTATCCGATCCATGAATCTGAAGGAGCGACCCTTGATCGGCTTAGTTGCTTGAATCCATGCTGCGTTTTGTTCACCAGCAAAAGCTGCAAAAAGCATTTCGTCCACTGTCACCAGAAATGTCAGGGCCAAGCTGTTCAAAATGAGGTCGGAGATGTTGCGAACAGACAAAAGGTACTGGATACCGACAATGAAGATGCAGCATTGCAAAATACTGCGCGGGAGAAGGTTCAATAAAATGGTGAGAATACGGATTTTTTTGCTGATTCCCAAGATTTCCAACGAACAGTCTTCCTCACTACTCTCCCACGTTTCTCTCAAGCAATCATGAATGCCACAGCTTGGGAGTGCCAGCATAACATTCCACCAAACAGAGATGCTGCGAAACTCAGCCACTGATGCCAAGCCCCAGAGGAACACAATCAGAAAGAGGAAGCCCTGAAACATTGCTGATGTCAGGCCAAAAACGGGGTCACCGTAAACACTGCTGGCTTGGTAGGTGACTTTCACATCATTTCCTTGTACACTTCGTGACTTCTTCCCACAAGCATCAGTTCGCTCTTCTTGGAACAAACTTGATTGCAGGGTAAAAACGCTCGGGCAAAAAAGACTGACAGCCCGGTGGCAAATCACGTCGGGTGTCAGGTCAGTTGCAGTACTTAAACCAGTAATCTTAAAGAAGACTGGCACAGTTGACTGGATGTTGAATTCCACATGCGGCCGCAAATTACGCAACTTCATGTTGCTACAAGTCTCTGTCTCTGGCAGCAAGCAGAAGATTGCAAATGGTGCAATCTCTTCCATGTAAATGTGGTTCGGAATCGTGGTAAAGTTCTTAATGCACTCATCTTGCTGAGCTGGCAAAAGGGCATCTTGCTTGCAAAGCGTATAGCCATCCACGCTAGTTATCCTGTCCATAGACAAACCTACTGGGAGATGACTGTAGCCTGCCAGGCCAAAACTTCGGGAACCACCACCACAAGTACAGCACAATTTGCCAACCTTGAAATCCTCATCATCCCACGTACCTCCGCAAGCATCCCAGCCATTGTAGCCTTGACAAGCACTCCCTATTGAGTCGATTGCACCGTTATCTGTGTCGACACATTTTGGAAAGGAGCAAGTGTAGATCACACCGTTCAACCGTTTCCGAGTGTGGCGGTTCTCAAAGACGTTGAGCTTGGTTGCGTTTGCATAAATTGCGATGATGCGATTGTCGCTGGTAATATTAGTGATGTAGCCTACTTCCCAAAAGCCAGTCAGCTGATCAAACACTTCGACTTGATGCTGGGTGTCACAAAGTGCAATCCGAGGACCTGCATATTTCTCGAAGACTCGAATGATGTTCTTGTACACTTCTGTCATATTCACACGTCTTCCCGTAACACGCGATCCCAAGTGCTCAGCTTTCAACTGTGAAGCTTCCTCGAAAGTCCAATGGTTGTCTTCATTCAGATCCAAGTGCTTCCAGTCAGTTGCAAGATAGACCTCATCGGGTGTGCACCTAATGTCTGGCTCATACTTTTCTGGGTAGTAGCAAGCTCCCTGGCTCTCAGAGAGCCCGAAAAGCTTCTCGCGATACGCTTTTTGCGTGACATTTGTTCGAGTGTACAGCAAATAAGCAACTGAATACTGCAGAATGAAGTTGATTGTCAATAAGAAGAAGGACCGACCAAAGAAACGGCCCATCGATATCAAAGGCAGCAGATATGCATTGTCATAGGCGGACTCTTGCAGGACAAGCTGGCTGTAACCCAGAACCTCGCGTCTTGCAATCTTGGTTGTCAAGTGATGCAGCACCCTCTGCCCCTGCTGTCCCCTCGGGGTGCCTTGCAGGTGATGGCATGTCTTCTGGAATTCATGTGCTTCGCAATAATCAAATTCAAATGGCAAAGGAAAAGGGCTTTTTGCAATAAAGATCCCTTGGCCTAAATGTTTCTGCCCATGTGCTTTAAAAATTCTTCAACTGTAACAGTTCAGAAGCGATTTTGCACTTTTCTTTGCAATCCCTGATGATGGGTGATATCAGCTTGATGTTGGTCTTGGTAAGTGAGGTGGGGTGGGGCGTGCCAGCTTTCACATTCTATGGAATGGCTTCGATGCTACAAGACTGATGTTCTGTGGGGGAGTTGCTGGAGTTCTGCAAAGTTCAGTTCTTCTTGCTGGGAGCAAGCACGGAAGTGCCTGATACTGCATATTTCTGGAATACGCAAAGGTGTGGCAATGGAAGAATTTGTGCAGCCAGCGAGGCTGACTCCACAAGAGGGGCAAGGCGATCCATGTTCATGCAGGAATCTTCGACCCGGTTTCTTGGTTCTATGGCGAGCAAGTCTCAAAGACGCATAAAGACATATAAAGACGCTAGGATTTTCTTCAAGCCATTCATAGACATTCTTTCAAAATCCAAAACTTGGGGAACCGGAGGCCTGCACAGAGACTTCTACACACACGCGGAAACCAATATTGTGCTGACTGCAGTTTTCGGACAGAATATGACAGAATGCAACTGCAATATACTGCAATACTAATGTTTTTTCCCGAACGCAGCAAGGGTTCCCGTTTCACTCTGGGGGTCTGGGGGTTGAGGGTCTGTTCGCTCGACGTTGCGTTTATGTTCGCAATCGTCCGCGACCGTTCGCAACCATCCGCAACCGTTCGCAACCGTCCGCGTGAGGGCCGTATGGCCGTGCGTATGGCGAGTTCTGCAACAGGGGTCACTTTTGGAGGTTTCCAGCGTCGCTTTGCTTCGTTTCGCGTGGACTTCGTGACTTTCAGACGTTTTTTGTAACGTGTCGAAAGTTGTTTTGTGTGGCAGGCGCAATACTTTTGCAACGTTTTCAGAAGACGCGTTGCAGTCTTTGTGGCAGGCGCAGCACTTTGGACGTGTCCATTGTCATTTGGCGTGGCAGGCGCAGCGCTTTAGAGGTGTCGTGTTGCGTGTCTTGTGCGAATCGCATTGGCAGGGCTGCGTCAAGTGGCGACGAGGTGCAGATTTCGTGGCAAGCGTGACGTTTTGTGAGATATGTGATATGTGATGAAAATTGACGGAAGCCTCGCACGAAACATCGATTTTGAGGTTGCAAATTTTCATGTTCCAAGGAAAACTTGTAGATCTTGCAGGAAAACATCGATTTTGAAGTGTCAAAATTGGAGGAAGTCTTGCACGAAATGCTCGTTTTGATGCTCCCACGTGTCTCGTCTCGAGTCTCTGGTTTTCCTGTGGCCTCGCCGTGTCTATGGGAGAAGCTGCAAAACCTCTCCTTTTCGAAGGTGTCCAAGCAGGTTGTCATGTCGGTTTGCGTGGCAGGCGCGGCGCTTTGTGACATTCTAACCTGTTTGATGATGCGTCGAAAATCGTTTTGTGTGGCAGGCGAATTACTTTTGCCTCGTTTTCAGAAGATAAGTTGCATAGTTTCGTGGCAGGCGCAACATTGTGGAGATCTCTGTCGTCATTTTGCGTAGCAGGCGCAGCACTTCAGACGTGTCGCATCGCGTGCTCCACACTCAACAATTTACACTCCACAATCCACACTCTACACTTTACACTCCACAATCCACACTCTGAAGTTTACACTACACTCCACACTCCACACTTTACACTCCTCACTCCACACTCTACACTTTACACTCCACACTCTACACTCCACACTTTGCACTTTACACTCCGCACTGTACATTCCACACTTTACACTCTACACTCCACACTTTACAGTCCCCACTGTACAACGCTTTACACTCTACTCCACACTTTGCACTTCACACTCCACACTCTACACTTTACACTCCACACTTTACACTCTCCACTCCACACTCTACACTTTACACTCCACACTTTACACTCCACATTTTACACTTTACACTCCGCACTACACACTTTACACTCCACACTTTACACTTTACACTCCACACTATACACTCTACACTGTACACTCTACACTTTACACTCTACACTCCACACTTTACACTCCACACTCTTCACTTTACATTCCACACTGTACACTCCATGCTCCACACTTTACATCTTACAGTCCACACTTTACACTCCACACTCCACACTTTACACTCCACACTCTACACTTTACACTCCACTCTACACTTTACACTCCATACTCCGCACTTTACACTCCACACTCTACACTTTACACTCCACACTCTACAGTCCACACTCCACGCTTTGCACTCCACACTCTACACTCGACACTCCACACTTTACACCCTACACTCCATACTTAACGCGCCACACTTTACACGCTATATACACTTTACACTCCACACTTTACCAGTAGTACCGCGCAAGGCGGTGGCGGAAGTTTCAAAATTAGGAAACCTATAGGAGAGATTGGTTGTTGTGAATCAGGGATGGCAGAGCGAATCCACTGATGGACCGAAAGGTGCTTGAGGTCTCCTCCCTTTCTCTCTCTTTCTCTGACTATCTACCCACCTGCCAACCTATCTTCTATGTATCTATCTATCTATCTATCGATCTATCTCTCTCTCTCTTTCATCTAATTACCTATCTATCTATCTATCTATCTATCTATCTATCTGTCAATGTACAGTAACTATCTATCTGTCTATCTATCTATCTATCTGTCAATGTACAGTAACTATCTATCTATCTATCTATCTACCTGTCTATGTAACTATCTATCTATCTATCTATCCATCCATCTATCTATCTGTCTATGTAACTATCTGTCTATGTAACTATCTATCTATCTATCTATCTATCTATCTAGCTATCTAGCTATCTAGCTATCTAGCTATCTACCGATCTGTCTATCTATCTACCTATCTATCTATCTATCTATGTATGTATCTATGTATCTATGTATCTATGTATCTATGTATCTATGTATGTATCTATGTATGTATCTATCTATCTATCTATGTATGTATCTATGTATCTATGTATCTATCTATCTATCTATCTATCTATCTATGTAACTATCTATCTATCTATCTATCTATCTGTCCATGTAACTATCTATCTATCTATCTATCTATCTGTCTATCTATCTATCTATCTATCTATCTATCTATCTATCTATCTATCTATCTATCTATCTATACGTCTATCTATTGATCAAACTGTCTCTCTATCTATCTGTCTATCTGTCTATCTATCTGTCAATGTATCTATTCATCTATTTATCTATCTATCTTGGTATCTAACTATCTGTCTATGTCTGTCTATCTGTCTATCTCTCCATCTATCTGTCTATCTGTCCATCTATCTGTCTATCTATCTATATGTCTATTTATCTATCTATCTATCTATCTGTCTATGTAACTAACTATCTATCTATCTATCGATCTATCTATCTATCTATCTATCTCTGTCTGTCTGTCTATCTATCTGTCTATCTGCCAGATTGAAAACCAAGCTCTTCTGCGAGACTTCCTCATTTTTCGAACTTAACAACATCAAAAACCAAACAATTCTGCGACACTTCTTTTAATTTTTCAACCTAACACCGTCCAAAACCGCAGCAATTCTGCGAGACCTTCTCATTTTTCGAACTTGACAACATCAAAAACAAAACAATTCTGCGACACTTCTTTTATTTTTCAACCTAACAACGTCCAAAACCGCAGCAATTCTGCGAGACTTCCTCATTTTTCGAAGTTAAAGACATCAAAAACGAAAGAATTCTGCGAGACTTCCTTCAAAAATGGAAAGTTGAGTGTGACAGCCTCGTACCAATGCGTTTTGCGATTTTTCCACTCCACCCGTTTAAAGTACTGCGCCTGCCACGAAAAATTGATGCCAGGTCATACGAAGTGCTGCACCTGTCACGCAAAATCATCTCAGCAAACTTGAAGATCTGATACTCCAAAATGCAACCCCTCTCAGGAAATCAGCGCCCTGACCTCCGAACATCTCTGATGAACATGTCTTTTGTACTGCACCTGCCACGCGAAATGCATCTTTGAAGATCCTCTTCAAATGTCCCACACCTGCCATCGTTTCTGGAAATGCTGCAAAACCCTCACGTTTTGCTCACTTTTGACTAGGTGCACAATCCTTTGCGCCTGCCACGCAAAACGACATCTGAACCTCCAAAAGTGGCGCGAACATGTGGTGTTTTGCACATTTTCACTTCGAAATGTGCTTTGCGCCACAACGGCGTGCACTTTTTCGACGTCTCAACTTCCAAAAGTGGTCCGACAATGGCGTGTTTTGTGCATGTTGACTTCGAAATGTGCTTCGCGCCACAACGGCGTGCGCTTTTTTTCGACATCTCAACTGCCAAAAGTGGTCCGCACCTGGTGTGTTTTGTACATTTTGACTTGCAAATGTGCTTCGCGCCACAACGGCGTGCAATTTTTCATCTCTCATCTGGCCAGCTGGCTCCGCACCCGCCGCTTTAGCCTACTTTTCGACCCTCCGGAGCCCCAAATCATTGGAAAAAACACAGTGTTTCGCGACTTTCCTACCTTTTCTCGCATCTGCATCTTCTTTCTTCTTACTCTTTCTCTTCTACTCTTCTTTCTTCTAATCTTTCTCTTCTCTCTGCCTCTTCCCTTCTCTGCTTTTCATCTGTCCATATTGTCGGAAGTTTGACTTCTAAACTTCCTTCGACAATCCACACTCCACACTCCACACTCAACAATTTACACTCCACACTCCACAATCCACACTCTACACTTTACACTCTACACTTTACACTCCACACTCTACACTTTACACTCCACACTTTACACTCCACGCTTTACACTTTACACTCCCCACTCTACACTCCACGTTTACACTTGACACTTGACACTTTACACTCCACACTTTACACTCCACACTTTACACTCCACACTCCAGACTCTACACTTTACACTCCACATTTTACACTTTACGCTTTGCACTCTACACTTTAAACTCCACACTTTACACTCCACACTCTACACTCCACACTTTACACTCCACACTTTACACTCTACACTTTAAACTCTACACTTTAAACTCTACACTTTACACTCCACACTTTACACTCCATACTTTACACTCCAGACTCTACACTCCACACTCCACACTTAGCACGCCACCTTCTTCCATATCCCACAGTGTACGGTGCACAGGTATGGTAACAGGGGGAACACGTACAAGACTGTTCAAATAATCTGTTTCACAAAAGTGTTCTACGTGACTGCATATCCATGTGTTTCGACATCTGTACCATTAACATACGTGTGAGCATTCGGGTTCGTGGGCTGCATTTTTTTTTTTGGGTCGTTCACTGTCCTCAGATCAGTTTACAAGAAGAGAAGCCCACTCCCCAGCCAGTAGCCAGTGGCCAGTTGCTACAATTTCTGATCCAGCCCCCTCAGTTTACCAAATCTCTTCCAAACGATCCAACAGCAGGCTTCGCAACACCATGTAACACCATCTTGTCAAGATGCCACTGTGATGACTGTGATTGCTCGCATGATGGCGAACGTGTCCTTCAGGACCGTGATGTATAGGACTCTTCGGAGGACTCGGTAAATCTGTCGCCGAAGGGACCGATGGGACTGGGCGAACTCGAAGTCCTTTGCAATGCAAAATGCCACAAGTGCAGGATGTAGACATATTGTAAATATGATCAAATATGTAAGCATATCTGTGATAGGCAAAACATCCCAAACAAACAAACATCTCCCTGTATCTCTTCTTTCGATTTCAAGCATGGAAATAAAGGCAACAACCCGAATTCCGCAACTAAATGGTGCAATCTCTAGGCACCACGAATGCATATAGTGCACCTATGCTTTGGTTTAGGTTGGCTCAGCTGTTTTAACAGGTTTATACATTCTCCATTTTGTCTGAACTTTTGAACTGCACCTTTGAGGGTGAATCTCACAAAACATGTACATGTCTATACAATTTTATATTATGCATATATATATATATACACATTATGTACATATAAATTATATACATTATGTATATACATGTATCATGTATATATATAATGTATATACATAATATATATATATAATGTATATATATATATATGTGTTCCCGAATAGAATTGAAAATGACAGAAACGGAACAAAGCAACTGCATCGGTCAGTCAGCACCTTTTGTTATGCAGTTGGCTTTGCGGCTGTGTTTCTGTCAGATGCCAATCGCATCAATCACAAATGGTTTCACAGAAACTCTGAACTGCAGTGGTGGTGTCACACGTCAAAATCCACCCAACCCGCCGGAGCGTGAAGCTCGCGCAAGTAAGGAAAGGAAAAAGAGGGTTGTAGGTGGGAAAACACCACTGTACACCATAAAGTCAGCCGCAACCACCTGGCTCCCGAAGGACCTTAGGTGGCGTGAGAGTCGGTCTTACGACGTTTTGAATTTCCTGAAAAGGTGGGGACACTCATCTGGTCATCCAGAAGGGCCCAGAGAAATTTAAAATGGGAAAAAGCTTCACTCACTGGTAGTCGTCGATCAGGATGAAAACCAGTGAAGTTTGGGTGGGTGAGTTCGTCCGCCCACTTGTTGTAGTCCCGCTTCATGTGTGAAGGCGCCAATTGAACCCCAGCAACATAGAGCATGGCGATGAGCTGCATTAGGAAAGCTGAGGTAGGCATGTGCTTCGTCTTCTGGTTCAACAGGGCAAAGACATTGCCTTGATTGTCTGAAATGAGGCTGAGACGGGTACGAAGCAGAGATTTCCCACCCAAAGCCAGAAGGAAGTGGGTAAGAATCAATGTACCAAACATCTCGAGGGTCGCAATGCGTCTGGTTGGATCACCATCCTTGTGAGCCCATGGATGGTCTTCGAGGGGTATCTTGTAATGGAACCACCAGGTCTGTTCCTTTGATGGGTTCTCACAATCTGCAATCCACCCCCCAATGTAGGCCCCATCGTCCGGGTGTGCACTAGCATCACTGGCACCCCACCAATTGGAGGTAGGGTCGTAAGGGCAGGGCTGGATCTGGGGGTTGTGAAGCAGCTGGAGGAGAAGCTTTGAAAAGGATCGTATGAGCTTGCCGGGCTTCCCTGAGGTAGTCGTCGCGGATTTCCATGCCCAAAATGGCTGAAGAAAAGGGCGACTGAGGGGCCAAGCTGCCGTTGCCCAATTTAATCGTCCCAGTGCTCTCTCAATCTCCTTCACCGTGAAGGTGTTGCCCGCAGCAATGGTCTGAAGGAGTGCCTCAAGTGTCTTCCTCTTATCTGGAGGGAAGTCGACCACGGGTCCGCATGGATTGACCTGGAAACCTAACCAGGTGTTGACCTCAGATAACACCGTCTTGTGCCAACTGAGGGGGCATCCCATGGCTGCTAAGAAGAGAAGCAGTTTTGCAGTATCCTCAGTGGCGGAGTCCGTCCTGAGGAGCCAACAAAAATCGTCCACGAACACAAAGCCCCAGTCTATGTGTGGAAACATCATGTAGCATAGTCTGAGGAGGAGTGCCGCCATTCTGCCCCAATAAAGTTGGGCGCTGGCCATACCATAGGTACCCACCTTGTTTATCCACCATTCACCATCAAGTTGTGCTACTTGGTAGCGCCATTCGTTGGACTGGACCTTGATGCGGCGGTGTGCTTTTGAAACATCTGCTTTCAAAAGTGCCCAGGTGGTTTGTTTGTGTGGAGGTTGCCATGCCAGGTCGGTGCAAGACGCTACCGTCCCAGATGTCTTCTCCTTCGTGGTAGTTAGCCAGTGAATGGCTTGAACACAGTCCATCACTGTGGGTGCAGTGGTCTTCTCAACTGTGTTTTGTTGGATGTGTGAGTTTGCATGGCCCCAGCTTCCGTCGTAGATTGTGCGGATTTTATCTCCTTCGTCAATTGCCGCCAGGGGCCCTGGGCAGAGTTCATCTGGGGTGCATCCACAGCGGAGTGCAGCCTCCTCCTGTGTGAGTGGGCCCTCAACCATACCCATATCTACCTCTTCCACGAAGGTCTGTCGGACCTGAGAGGAGAAATCTTTTGCCGAGGGGTAGTTGTCCCTGCCCATGGGTATTAGGAGGTCCTCCCACAGAGGGGATTCTCCTTTGAGTTCTTCCTTGGTAGGCCATATACCTGGTGATGTCCAGGTGGGTGTGGTGACACCTAAGGGGACTCCCTTGGCAACCCTTGTGGGGTAGGCCGCATCTGCATCTCCACCAGCTTCCGCTAAGGCTGAGATGAGGTTCAGATAGAACGGCTGGCCTGGCTCCATCTCCTCAGCAATTTGGTAGTCCAGCCCGATCCCTTGGGCAATGGCCCGTCGTGTCTCCTGAAGAAGTTCCTTCGGGAACGGATGTTTTCTTTCACCCCTATTGATGGACCGTTGGACGTCCTGTGCACATCCTTTTGCCAGGTGGCTAATGGAGTCTCCAATGTGTTTGATCTTGGACTGAGGTCTGAGCGGGGGAGGTCGTCTCCCGGCTGAGGGCTTACCTCCTCCATCCCGTAAAGGTCTAGTCTTGAAGCCTGATTGAACGATGATCGGGTCGTCATCCAAAGTCATCGTCTGGGAGAGGGGTACCGATGAGGAGCGGTCCGTCCGACCTGGAGGCTCCCCTTCCTGTTGGCACCCGTGGGTTGATGTCCTGTGTTTGGAATGCTCTGGATGATTGCTGCTGCTAGCCCTGTCATCAGTGCTGGCGGGTACCTGCTGAGGTCCCGGGAGGTCATCTCCATTGGCCTCAAATGTCCAGAGTGGTTGCACTGGAGGCCTTGCCAATGGTGAATTGGAAGGTCCGTTGAGAAGGTCGTACTCTTCTGTGCCCTTTGTCCCAGTCTGCACTGGTCCAGGTGGATCTGGCAGTGATTTACCTCTTTGGCCCACTCCTGGTAGACTCTAGTGGCCCATATCGATGAACATTTTGCCGCCGTTGGTGCCCGACTACACTCAGCTGGGTCACGAGGGTGTTCCAAGAACGAGTGGAATCCTTTGTTTTGCCTGGCTTTTGCGGCTAGGGCAGTGATGACCAGTTGCCGGAGCAGAAGGATACTGTCCTTGTCTGTGTCCAACTGTTCTTCCAGGGAATTTGAGTCAAGGCCCCATGTCTGGGAGGGATCACGCCCTCGTACTGGCCTGGGCGCTCCGGGCTTTGGAAACCATCGTAGGATGCTCCAGGTCCGGCAGTTGGGGCCGCCCCCCACAAATGACAACTGGCCCCTCGCGGCGGCGCAGCAGAGAGTTGAGTAAAACTCATCATCCAATATGTCGTTTGGGCCCTTTTCTGGTGGCCTCAGGATGTCCACGGCAAGGATCCTGGGGGCCAGGTCCTGGTGTTGTTGGATGAGTATGTCATCCAAGGCTCCTCCATCACTCCTGCCGGTGTAGAGGAGTAGTATGTCCCTCCCTTGGAGGCTCCCCGTGGGTTGTGTGGTCCATACAAGGCGTTCCAACAGCCTGTTGGGAACCGATGAGAGCCATGGACAGTGCCCAAGCAGGGACTGTCCATTCATGATCATCGTTGTATCAAGTGGTCGGCCCACTGCCTCTTGTTGTGTATGTGGTGTGCTTGTGTCGTTGGGGTAACCTGGGGGAGACCCCCCCGGTTCCGTTGTTGCTTGGTTTTTGACAGGTGTTGGGGTGTCCATCAACCCTGGTGGGTGATCGGTGCAAGACGCTACCGGGTCCGCCAGTAGTCAACGGTGTGGGCATTGCTCTGGGGTGTGTTCTGAGGGTGCGGCGTTGCATACCCAGCCATTCTTGAGGACCGGACAGTTGTGGGAGCGTCCGCAGTTCCCGGGACATTTCTTCTTGAGGAAGTGGTCACGGCAGTACTGTACTCCCTTGGGTGAGATCTTAGCCCAGTTTGAAGGCCATTCAGAGTCCTTCCCTTTTCCGGATCCCATGGCCCCTTTGGCCTTACCCCCTTTGGGTGACCCTTTTTGTTTGTTCCATTGTGGCTGAGTTGGTGACCACGAAGGTTGGCGTCCCTTTGACTTGGCTGGTCGTGTTGGGGAGTCAGGCCCGGAGCCTTTGTTGCCTTTCTGCCGGGCAACAGACTCATAGACCTCTCTGGTCCAAAACAGGGTGTCCTGACGTAGTTGGGCCATGGCCTCCTTGAGGCCCAGTCCCCCGTAGACCAAGTTGTGGATCTCCCTCCATGCGTTCCTTTCAGCGTAGAGGAGAACCTGTTCACTGGGAGGCGGTCTCCTGTCCGCAATGTCTTTTCCCCAGAACCATCGGTACCAGTCCTCTAGGTCCCTATGGGTGATGTTCAGCTTCGGCATGCTGGGAAATGAGAGGATGGCCATGAGGAGGTTGGTTCGAAAGACCAGGTGCATGTGCTCCAACTGACGCCTCGTAGTTGGGAGTTTCCGTGTCTCCTCCTCTTCTTCCTTTTCCCATCCATCGACCGTCACTTTCTTGGTGGTCTTGATAGGCCGCTCATCCTGGTCTGGTAGGGCTGATATGATGTACTTGCTGGCAATCCAGCCAACTTCTCCTTGCGCACAGAGTTTGAACTGTTTCTTCAACAAGGCATCCGAGCCTTGATCCTCCAATCGTGGGAGTGGGAGCTGGACGACCACCGTCCATGTCTGCAGGAGCTGGCGTCGATCACACAGGGCATCCAGGGAGGGCGCCGCCTGTGACGTCGTCGG